AGGGTTCTTGTAGGAGCGTTCATGTAAATAATGTCACCGTAATCAATGGAGGGAAGAAAAGTCACAGATACAAGGCGTTTCCTAGCATTCAGGGTTAGACAGGATCTGTTTCTGAAAAAGAAATATAATAATATACATATATATCAGCGGTAGTGTAATATAAGCAGCAGTGTGAATATAAACAGTAGTGTGAATGTAAACAATAGTATGAATATGAACAGTAGTATGAATAACATTATTAAGTATTAATAACATTATTTAACATTTTTATATAAAAGAAAATATCATAGATCTCACAAAGATGAATAAACTTGCAGTGTAGTTGGTTAATATATGAATAAATTTAATGTTTTACTAACATGTAGGAATATGTTACAGTACACAAAGTTGACCCAGACCAGATATATTTTTTCATTTTGCTATTTCTGTAGTAGTGATTATCTGTATTATTAGATATATGTAGGATTATGTTAGCATGTGTCTGTCACTTTGCCATGCCCTCAGGCTGTGAGTGTAACAACCATGCCCAGCGCTGTCATTTTGACCCTGAAGTATACAAGGCCAGTGGGAGGACGAGTGGAGGGGTGTGTGAGGGGTGTATGCACCACACCACAGGGCCAAGGTGTGATCAGTGTGCCCCAGGATACCAGCCAAACCTTCACAGCCAAATGGACCGACCAGATGCATGCATACGTAAGTAAAAAAAAAAAAGTCAAAGTTCCCAAATTCCCATTGAAAACAGAGCTCATTTGTTGTGGTTGCAGGTTGTATTTGCAGTATTGCAGGGACAGTGAATGGGGATCAGTGTGAGGACAGCTCAGGCTCCTGTCAGTGCAAAGTGAACGTGGAGGGTCTCCGCTGCGACCACTGTAAGAGAGGATACTACGGCCTGAGTCCGTCCAACTCTGTGGGCTGCAGCAGTGAGTCATCAAACATTTATTAAACCTTTATTTATACAGGTTAGTCTAGTTGAGCTTCGAGGACTCATTTACAAGAGAGATCTGTTTTAATAAAGAAAGATGACAACAGTAGACAATAATAAAAAAGCATATAAATTGAAAAATGGAAGAAAATTATTTTTAAAAATGAAACAAAAAAAGCTCCTCCTTGAACAACCATTGTAGTGGAGTTTCTGCGCCTGAATGATCCTAGGAGCTATGCTGTCTGGGGCAATTTTAATTGCCGCTGGTAGGGTCTCCCAAGGTAGATTGGTTCTAGGTGACAGGCCAGAAAAATAGCAATTCCAAAACTCTAATGGAAATGAAACAGCAAGGAACTCCGTGTCCCTTGCCCGGATGTGGGTTATCGGGGCCTCACCCTGGAGCCAGGCCTAGGGGAGGGGCTCATCAGCGAGCACCTGGTGACTAGGTCTCTACCCATGGGGCCCGGTTGGACTCAGCCCAAATGAGCAACATGAGTTTGCCTTCCTGTGGGCCCACCACCTTCAGGAGGGGCCATATGAGTTGGGTGCATGACTCCATTGGTAGTGGCCGAAGGCAGGGATCTTGGTGCTCTGACCATGGCTTACCAAAACTGGCTCGTGGGACATGGAAGGTGACTTGTCTGGTGGGGAAGGAGCCTAAGCTTGTGTGTGAGGTTGAGAGGTACCGAATAGATATAGTCAGGCTCACCTCGATGCACAGCATGGGCTCTGGAACCGATCTGCTTGAGAGGGGCTGTACCTTATTCCACTCTGGAGTTGCCCATGGTGAGAGGCGCCAAGCTTATGTGGGTATACTCTTAGCCCCCTGACTTGGTGCCTATGTGTTGAAGTTCTCCCCGTTAGATGAGAGGGTAGTTTCCT